ACCCGGCTCGGGGATTCAGGAACGAGCTGTTGCACAGGTGCTCTTCCCACCTGCGCCCTCCTCCGTGGCTGCTCCATTCCAGGGGGGTCTCCGCCTGGAGCAACCACATTTGCTCCTCGGGAGAACCGGCCAGGCGCACCGGGGAAGGCTTGGACTTGCGAGAACGTTCCTTTCTTCTGAGCCCGGCGCCTGCTGGCCCCTGCCCCGCCTGCGCTGTCTCGGTTTCTGACGGTTGGCCCAGTCCTTTGAGCCTGTCGTTAGCTGCAGCAAGTTCTCACGGGTGGGCTCATTTATCATACAAAGATACAAAAGTAAAGCAATCCTTTATCTTGATTTTTTTAAGTCTTTTTGAAATTTAAGAAAAAGGTTTGTTGTTGTTGTTGTTTTAAATTACAGAAGCTAGTGTGAAAATCTTGCCCCTAAAAATTTTACCTCTGACCTCCTGTCTCCATGGCCAGACCCTGATTATCCCTATTCAGAAACCCCATGGATAAAACAGAAGTGGAGGGGTAACCGCACCGACCCCCAACTTCACTCCCCACTAGCATAAACATTTATAAACAACCAGAAAGACTATCAGAAAGAGACAAATTGTCTAATTTAAACTGAACCTCCTTGAGTTTCCTGGAGGGTGTCCTTGCTCTCACCCCATCTCTGGAGCCTGGTGAAAACCTGTGTGATTTCCCCCTGCCAGCTTTTCTTTTTAATCCTCTTTTTGAACTGACAGAGAGGAGTGCCCTTTTCCACACACGGGGTGATAGGCCGCCTGTGTTTGCACAAGTTCTCAAAACTGCTGGAGTTTTGTGATAAACCCTGAAGTCTGGAGACTTTTTCCCAAGAGAAAACAGAATTATCTATGAGGGTTTCCACTGATTTAAAACTGCAGAGTTGGTTCCCACCTAGTCCCTCCACCTTGTGTTGTTTCTAGGTCCTTTGAAACATGGGTGACAGGAAAATTAATCTTCCAGACTTGAGAGGAAAACACTAACCTTCCGGGGCACCTTCCAGGGGTCAGGGCTTTGCTGCCTCATGCTCTGTGGTGGAGGGAGCCCCCACCTTGGAACACTTGTTGGTAAAACACCTCCATGGGCTTCTGGGTTTAGCCAGGCCCTTAGTTCACTAAGAGAGACCAGAAGAGGAGCTGCCAGTCTTCAGAAGGGGTGAAAGATGTCCGGATAATCATCTTGCTCTTTTTTTCTCCCCAAGCTGTGGTGTCAGTAGATGGGCGGCCTGTGAGACTCCAGCTCTGTGACACTGCAGGACAGGTCAGTATCAAGTTACACAGCTCAGCACTGGGAAAGGAAACAGCCTTTTAAAGGTTTCCAAACAACCGATTCCCTTAGTAACTGGGTCATTGTGAAACCTGGGGAAGCAGGCCCACCCCTGCTTCAGCTCCTCTGCGGACACTGGGAGGGAGGAGTCGGGGAGGCCAAGAAGGACACCTCTGGGCTAGTCAAACAGGGCTGGCCTGTTCTGGGCAAGAGATGAGAAGGCAGTGGCAGAAACTGCCCTTATCGTCACAGGACTTTCTGATACCTCTCATTTTCTGGCTTTTGCTAAAAAAGAAAAACCACAGTTATGGTTTGTAATCATTTCTCAGAGTAAGCCCCTCATGTTTTATAATTACTTGATTCAAGGCTAATAAGCCAGATACTTAAAAGTTTGTTCAAGGAAAAACTGTAGCTTATGTTAGTGAATATTAGCATTTCTCTTCCCCTATTCTAGAGCAGAGGCATGGTGGTCAGAGACATCCAAAGTGAGAGCAGGAAAGGAAGGGTTACACTCTTTGGTCATTCTTGTCTTGAGGGCAGAGCACCAGAAGAGAAAGCCAGGCAGTGATACAGAGGGAATGGGTGTAGCGTCCCCTCAGTGACCTCCAGAAGAGTTTTGGGGCCTGGGTAAACCTACCCCAGCAGCTATCCTAGCCACTGAGGTCATGTGGTGCTTGTGAGTACTTAGATACCCAAGTGACAGTAAGCTTGTCTCCCCATGATGTCTGGAGCTAGCAAAGCGCAGGGTGTAGAAGTGTCCCCTTTACTTTTCTGACTATCCATGCTTATGAGTTCCCCAGTTCTCATCCAAGCCAGAGCCTTCAGGTTACTCACTACTCTAAGATAGCAGACTTGGGACTCGGGTCTGGTTTATTCCTTAGACCTCAAGGAGACAGACTACTAGGCTGTCTTAATGGATCATCATAGTGATAACTGAAGCAATGAAGTGAGAGAAGCTAATCCCTATCAGTGTGTTCACTGTGTGGGAAGGAAACATTAAACTCCAGGCATAGTTGTTCATGCTTGTAATCCCAGCTCTCAGGAGGCTGCATCAGAAGTATAACCACACACTCAAAACCAACCTGGGTTATATAGTGAGTTCAAGGCTAGGCTGGGCATAATACATTATCTCAAAAACAAAAATGACAGGCATGGTGGTCACACACCTGTGATCTCAGCACCTGAGAGGTGAAAACAGGAGGTTCAGAAGTTCAAAGTCATTTGCTACATAGGACATTTGATGTCAGTCTAGCCTATGTGAGAAACCTGCCTTAAAAAAAACATACAAAATAAAGGAAAAAGTGCCCAAGAGACAGTCTTCTTGGGTCTTTCCTCTTTTTGCATGAGGTCTTCTGAATTCTTTTACACAAAGTGAGAAGGTTGGGTTTTTCCAACATGGACGGAAATGTGTAGTGGCTATAGGTACCCTGAGGACCAGACAGAGGCAGGGAATGTAAGCCCCAAGGCACAGACATCATCAACCCCAGTGAGGAGTTGCTAGGTTGTGGGTTCAGGAATCACTATACCACCCCTCAGATGTCTCTACCTGCCATTTTGACTTCTGAAGGAGGTGGAATTTCCTTGGGAGATGAGTCCTGAGTTGGGATCTGGCACACCTCAGAGTTCCATATGGTTTAGTGCATGAACCAGAAAGTGTAAGACATCAGTGTCCATAGAGCTGCAGGCTTGCCTGCTGTAGACCTGTAGTCGTAGGTCAGTTCTCAGGAGCTCACAAGGAAAACAACACAGTACAGGGAGAAAGCCTTGCCCCGTGCATTTTTTGAGAGGGGATGGATATGTTTGTAAAATCAATTTAGTATTTCTAAAAAGGAGTTAAATGCTTCCTTTGTATCATCTCCTAAAAATCAGGAAATGAACTGAGAGTAATGGCTGAGACCTGTCATCCCTGTAATTGGTACACAGAGGCAAGAAGATCACAAATTTTAGGTCTGCCTGGACTACTCTGTAGCCCTTGAACTGTGAGTTCAAGGCTAGCCTGGGCCTCACTATACAGTGAGGTCCTGTTTAAAAGAAATATCAAATGGACTCAGTAGGTTGCACTTACATGTTTATGGCATATATGTATATGCAACAATAATAATTAACGAAAAAGAGACCATGAATTTGAGAGGGGACAGTGAATGGAGTGGGGGGGAATGGAGTGGAGCTGGAGGGAGGAGGAATGAAGTAAATACATTATACGTATATGAAAAAGTAAGAGTCATCTTAGTCATATTTTCACAAAGGAAATTATAATCAGGAGACAAGGCTCTAACATTGTTTCAATGAGAGTGCTGTGCTTCCAGCCTAAAGACTATCTTGCAGGGAACAGACCACTAAGTAACCAGCAGGGCTCCTCTAAAGATCTATAGCAAATCAGCTTCAAAGACTGTTTTCGAGAAGCACGTGCTTGGCAAGATAACCTTGGCAAGACAACCGGCAGGACAGGCAAGTGCTTGTTTTGATGGCAGCAGAGCCAGTCAGAGCTGTTCTGCCCTCCCTGCTCCTGGTCTGCAGCCCACCTGTTGAGGTATTTGACATGACACCTACATGTCAAAGGAGCACTTTCTTCTTGTGGTCAGGAGAAGGAATGGATATACAGGTTACCCAGGTCACTGGGCATGAGCATGGGTATTCATTCCTGCTCGTTAAATGAGCCAGAACTCCAGCATGGAGACTTGTCACAAACATACCCAGAATTCACTTCTGCTCCCTTTGAGTTTCCCTTTCGGGGACAATGGTAGGCATTTGACATTGGACTCGTAGTCCCACGATGCAAATAGAGCAGAGATGGATAGGTGGCTGTGAGAAATGTAGCTGGCCTAGGAGCAGATAGTGTTGCTGAAGGAAGGTTGTTTTGCTGCCTTCTCCACCTGACCCATGGTGTACTTGGAAAAAAAATCTTCATGCTAAAAAGAGGAAAAAACAGAGCACAACTAGAAGGAATCTACAGTCCTGTCTGTCTGTGTCTGTCCTGCCCTTAGCATTCTCTGTGGAGTTCACACTTCAGGCCTGGCAAAGACGTATGATATAGCCTAGCCTTGAGTGTGTGCTTGATGGTGTGCTCTGGCTGCATCTCTGCAGCACATCTCAAAGGTTTCTGGTCCACACTGCACAGGGCTCTGTTTCTGTTTCACCTGTCTAGCTCCTTAGCCAGAATCTCAGAGGTTTGGAGAGCAGTGCTCCAAAGCCTAGTCACTAAGCCATTATGAGCTCCAGGATGTGGCCAAGGTGTGGCTGCTTTCTCCCTGCATGTCTCATCCCCATCATGGCCAGAGCCTGGTCCGGTTTATATTCCTTTCTCAAAGCCCAGAAAAGGAGGAGCAGCTCATGGAAAAGTCCCCTGAGCTGGCCCAATTACCTGGTTTATGTTTCTACATTTGTTCTTTCAGCACAAAGTTGGCAGTGAGAAACCATTCTTTCTCAGCTTTCACATATAGGGGCTGTTAATATTCAGGCATCTGTACTGGCCTGCCCTTAGGGTGCTGACAGGATACGTCCTCAGCTGCAGCCACTAAGAGCACTAAAAGGCCGACCTTGCCCACCTCGAATCTCTTCCTCTAATCTTGTCCCCAGGATCCAGTCTCTGCCCCCTTCTCTGTCCCCTTTTCTGCCCCTTCTGTCTCCTCTTCCAATAACCTCCCATGTGAGCCCTGTTGTATGGTGTGACTCCTTCTCACCATTTTTTAGATAAATTATAACAGGGGCCTTATCCAGGGCAGAGACACCCCAAGCTGCTGGGTTCTCCCTTGAGCTCATTAATTGTTGACTTATATGGCCACTTGGTTATTGATCCACAGTGGAAATAGACCCTCAGTCCAAGAACGACTAATACGAATAAGACTAATATGTTGGTTCCCTTAAACCCGAGAAAGCAGCTTTTTATGTCAACTTGATACAGACCAGAGTCATTTGGGAAGAGGAAACCTCTACTGAACAAATGCCCTGCAGTGCTTTGAATGACAAAACCCCTCCTCTCCCCCACTCCCCACAGCCATAGGGGCATTTGTTTGAATACTTGGTCCCCATTGGTGGAAATGTTTGGGAAGAATTAGAAGGTGTGCCTTCCCAAAGGAGGTGTGTCTTGTTACCCCCACCCCCACCCGATACACACACACACACACACACACACACACACACACACACACTGAGGTTTCAAAAGACTGGTGCCATTCTTAGTGTGTTCCCTCTGCTTCCTGCTTGTGGATCAAGATCTGAGCTCTTAGCCATTCCTGCCACCATGCCTTTGCTCTGCCATTGTGGACACTAGCTAGCCCTCTGAAACCATAAGCCCAATCTAATGCCTTCTTTTAAAGTTATTTTTTTATAGTTGCCTTGGCCATGGTGTTTTGCCACAGTGGTAGAAAAGTATCTAATCCGTATTCCTGACAGATTGGCCTGTGGGCAGGCTTATGGTGTATTTTCTTAGTGATGGATGTGGGAAGTCCCTGCTCACTGTGCGAGGTTACACACCTGGACTGATGGTCCTGTGTGCTATAAGAAAACAGGCTAAGCAAGTCAGTAATCAGCACTCCTCCATGACCCCTGCCTCAGTTCCTGCCTTCAGTTCCTGCCCTGATTTCTCTGAATGATGACCCCTGCAGGCTGTAAAGTCAAATAAACCCTTTCCTTCCTGTGTTGTTTGTGATCCTGATCTTTATCACAGCAATAGAAACCCCAACAAAGACAGCCATGGTTGGAGAATAATGTGTCTGTAAATAGGGTGATCAGAACCCACCAACTGAGTAATGGAAAACACTGAAAGCATATGACTTTTTCCTGCCTTGGGAAGTTATCAGTGTTGGATGCTGGAAGATGTCAGCACCCACAGACACATTTCAGATAAGAATGAGTTTGTGTGAAAGCTTTCCTGGGGTGAGGCTGAGCTGGAGTTTCCTGTGAACAGGAAATGGTGTTGTAGGGTTCTATAAGATGTTTGACAGGAGACACTAACATGGATGCCTGGCTCATGCCTGTTGTGTCTGGTGTTTGGACATCAGTAGACTGCAGGCCATCTGTGTTCCTTTACCTGTTCCAGGTGTCTATACCCTGGGACAGCTGTGCTCATTCTGCAGTACTATCTGTCTGAAGCACTGTGTGGGAGCTCAGCCATTTGCAGAGATGAAAGAAGGAACAAAAGTAAGAGAAGATACAGCCAGGACAAGACTGCATTGCCAGGGTCTGTGGGTGACAGTGAGGGTACCAGTTCTTTAAACTACTTCTGATAATGGCCTACACAGATCCTTACTTTCATTTCTGTCTTTCTTGTTTCTAAGGACCATGGTTCTACACTGTGTGTACTGGGGCTGGCAGGAGGAATTGGCATCCTTCACAGCTGTGGTCAGGCAGAGCAGGGCTGGATCGCAGAGGGGAGTTCTGTTAGTAGACCTGAGTTTACCAGGCCAGCTCTTAGGTACCAACATGGATGAGTACTGGCCTTCAAATAGCCAAGTCCAAAGAGTTAAAAAAAGAGAGAGAGAGAGTTGGGATCACTATGGGCTAAAGGCCAGAAAAAGCAAGATCTCATTTGCTTTGAGTTCCTTTCTGTAGCATATGGCATGCTGGTCATGGTCACTGAGGAGACAAAGGACATATTTGGAGTGTTAAGGCTGTGCTGTCCCTCAGAGCTTATAGAGGTTATAGGTTGCACCTGTGTCCCTAGGGCAGGCAGCAGGGCAAGTCTGAAATACTGGCTCCTTGCCATAAAAATATAGGTTTTTCTGTGACTACCCTGGCCCTCAAGGTCATTCACTAAGGTGGTAAGAGCTAACAAAAGTAATAGCTTGCACTGTTTGGTTTCAGGACGAGTTTGACAAGCTGAGGCCCCTCTGCTACACCAATGCAGACATCTTCCTGTTGTGCTTCAGTGTGGTGAGCCCCACATCCTTCCAGAATGTCAGTGAGAAGTGGGTACCGGAGATTCGGTGTCACTGCCCTAAGGCCCCCATCATTCTGGTTGGGACACAGTCGGACCTTAGAGAAGATGTCAAAGTGCTCATCGAACTGGACAAATGCAAAGAGAAGCCAGTCCCTGAGGAGGCGGCGAAGCTATGTGCTGAGGAAATCAAAGCTGTCTCCTATATTGAATGCTCAGCCTTGACTCAGAAAAACCTCAAAGAGGTGTTTGACGCTGCCATCGTTGCTGGCATCCAGCACTCAGACTCCCAGCAACAGCCAAAGAAGTCTAAAAGCAGGACCCCAGATAAGGTGCGGGACCTGTCCAAATCCTGGTGGAGAAAGTATTGCTGCCTGGCCTGACCCTTGCAAACAGTTGGTGTTTAAGCTGCAACAACTCTTTACGACATGTGGGTGTGGTCATAGGACAAGCCCTCAAAGCAACCCCTTTCTGTCCTTAATTTCCTGTCTGTGAGGTTAGGGTTGAGATCCATATGCAAAATAAGTTAAAGATATTTGGAAGTTAAGATTTTTTTTCATAACTATGGAACCTTAGAATGGTAGAACTCTGGATTAATTTGTATCTCATACGAAAAGGGCTCTTCAAAGCTAGGTGCCAGCATGAAGTTCTGCTGCATCATACAGGACAAAGGAGACCGTGACCCTCTCCTGATTAAGGGCTACTGAGTGCTCATTGAATGACACATGCACACCAGACTTTGTGAGAGTAAGTCCCAGCTTTGAAACCACACAAACCATACCTGTTTTTATAAGAGCAAAACTCTGAAAAAAGAGAGATGCTTCTGTCTAAAGACCTCATACCCATCCCTTTTGACATTTACTTAGACTCACTTTCTTAAGATTTTAAAACAACCAAACATCCCTCTGGCTCCTGGCATTGTGCTGACTGAAGGGTATACTTGATTGTTAGTTATGTGTTTCTTTTTTTTTTAATCACATGACCAGTTGTGTTTCGATGAAAATAGTGGAAATGCCTCTAGGAAGGCATGTGCTAGGTGCAGAGCTGATGTTTTCTTCAGGGAGCAACTCATGTTGTGATCAGAGAGTGCTCTTTGCTTTCAGGACTGGCTTGTGCTCTGAGCCATCTGTGTCCTGGTGATGAAAACAAGAGGAAGTTCTTGTCTAGGGGGTTTAGGCTGCCACGATCGCATTGTCCTGTTTGTAAGAAGTGGGCACCTTCCTGGTGAAAAGTGGGACACACACACACACACACACACACACACACACACACACACACACCTTAAGTCTGTTGAAATATCCATCTGTGTACACACATGTGTGCTGTGTGCATGCACACTCGTGTGTTCACACACAGAGGTGACTGGTTTGATGATGGAACTTTGAGACACACAGAAGCATGGTTGCAGATGTTAGGGTGGCATGCTTTCCTCTTCGACATTTCTTGAACAGACATCATTTTGTAGAATCTTACCTTCATTTACACATTTTTTGAGAACATCTTAAAAAGTGGAATGAACATACTTTTGATGTGCCTTCAGGGTCCTAGGGAGGCACTATATTAGGGATTAGATATGTGCACCTCCTTGGTGGGGGTCAGTCAGAAGATCATGCCTGTGGGGTCTTATATCTGACTGTTGTGAGACAGCTCTGTGTTAGGAGAGCTCTTTCACAGTGTTGTAGGTACTTCCAAGATGCCACAGAAGCTGTGACAATGAATCACAGCTTCTGGTTTACTGTGAGCAAGGTGGCCACCTGGTAACAAAATTTTCTGTCTGTGAATTTTTTTTTATATTAAAAAAAAACAACCTTATGGTTTTCTATATAAAAAAAAAAAAAAAACAAGTAAAAAGATCAGGCCACATTTCAGGTCAAAGACTTCTTCCTGCTAGTAAATAGGACCCAGGCCTTTCTTTATTAAAGTTAAAAGGCTAATTGCTGAACCACTAGAATACACGAACTGTTTGTGACTGAGCCTTCAGCACAGTGCTAGTGACATCAGCCGTGCTTTCCTGAGGTGTTTCATTGTGACCTGAGTGGTAGCATTGCTTGACTTATGGAAATGCTTGTACCTGACCTAGTGACTAAGCTTACTACCCTACTATGCATGGCTGTCTGGAAAGCCCACCTCCGAGTGGGGACTCTGCCTGCCCTGTGTACAGAGGGTGGGTGGGGAAGGGTGAGTTATTTAATTTTAAATGTTATAGTAAAAGCAAATGTAGTGGAGACCAAGGAAATAAGCATTTAGAACACAAACTTGAAGTTTTGTGCGAGAACTGTTGGGCCTCAAGCCCTGCCCCTTTGGGCCACTGGGAAGTGGCATGAAGGATGCTGTGATGGAGTTCTGGACACTTGCTTCTAGGATAAATACCCCTGGACCATTCACAACACAAATGTAGTGGGTTGCCATTGGCCTTCAAGCTTTCAATATGTTACTACATTCGATGGAGGCATAAGGTCTGACTGTACTTGAGGTTTTCCTGCATTTTTACTTTTTGAAAATAGAGATTCGGGCTGAGAAATTTTTAAAAGTATGTGCCTGGGTGAAATGTAAAGTTGGTTCTCTTTGAAGCTGAAAGTGGCACATGTACAGCGTGGTGTCTCGGGTGGATTCTGTGAGCTGTGTGTGTAGCCATGCCTCTTCAGCTTGACTCTCAGTGTAAGACAACTCACCTGAAAAACACACTGTCGCAGGCTCCAAAACTGTTACCCCATCGTGTGTGCAAGCAAACTTTTGATAACTTTATTTTCTGCTCAACAGACATGTGAGCAGCTACCCAGAAGTCTCAAGCCAAAAGGGGAGCCTCACTGATCTGCAGGTGCCTTACCAACTTGTGCTTTTCTGTTTTCATGTGTTGAAGATGCTGGATCTTGTACTTGAAAATGCTATAAATGAGTTGCTATGAAATAAACTCTGACCTGTGGACATAGCTGCTCTGGCCTGTTCTGTCAGGAGAAGCTCAGCCATGCCTTGGCCTGGCACAGGTTAGGAAGAGTTCTTGTGCTTAGGGAAAGCATCTAGTATGACATTTATTCAACACAGGTCCTTGGGGGCCCTGGGATTGGCCCAGTGATTAAGACCCTCTGTATGTTTCAGAAAGTTCAGGTTACACAGGTCTCCCTGTATGTCAGATTCCAAACACCAGAGGTGTTCAGAGTTGAGAGAGACCTCGGGGCCTGAGAGCTTCATGTGTGAACACTCCACCTTTCTGTATATGAATGAGTACTTGGGGTGGCAAGTGGCAGGGATCTATAAGGCACAAGGAGGGGAGCAGAAGCCAAGACCATCACCCTGCAGTGGTGCAGCTGACACTCTGGGTACCTGTGTCCCAGGATACCAAGAACACTGCTTTATGACTCTGGAAGTTGGTGTTCTAAATGATGTTAAGAGGGTGTAGCTCTCTAGGAGATGCAACTTTAGGGAAGTGACCACTCAGAGTGGACAGCCGCCATCCTGTTTGTGACATGATAACCAACATAAACAACTTGAAGAATTTCTTTTAGCTCAGGGTTTCAAAGGTCACAATCCTTTGCTAGCTGACTCCATCTATTCTGGGCCTGGTGTGAGGCGAAATGTCACGGTTGAGGATCCTCGAGTAATAGCTGCTCACCTTGTGGTGGCCAGAGCACAGGAGCGTGTGCGTGCTGGCAGGCGTCTTCTTCCCCTTTTGTTCCATTCAGGCCCCCAAACTATGGGACAGTGAAGCCTACATTCAGGGTGGGGTGGGTCTTTTCCCTCAATTCCCCCTGGAAACCCAGACAGTGTCATTTACTAATTTTGGCACTTCTCACCCCCAAGCAACGGGGAATCAAGATTAAATATCATTGGACTAGAAGGATGGCTTAGTGGTTAATGGCATGTACTGCTCTGCCAAAGTTCCAGAGTCAGGTTCCCAGCAACCATGTCAGATGGCTTACAACCACCTGTGACTCCAGCTGTGGGGGCTCTGACACCTCTTCTGGCCTCAGCAAACTTGTGTGTGCATATTATACACAGACGCATGTGCATACACCTAATTAAAATCTTTTCTCAATGCTTAACTATTATAGTTGTCTAGTAACAGATAGCTGCTGTGTTGCAGCACTCCACAGAGGTGACTGCTACTATTGGTTTCTGTCATAGTTTTTGTCAACTTGACACAAACTAGAAATATGTGGGAAGAGGGCATCTCAATTGCGGAAATGGCATGTGGGCATGTCAGTGGGGCATTTTCTTGATTGATGTGTGAGGACCCAGCTCACTGTGGACAATGTCACCCTTGGGCAGGTAGACCTGGGCTATATTTTTAAAAGTAGTGGTTCAGGAGTCAGTGAGCAGGCACTACATGAGGTCATGTCATGACCTGCACTCCCAGCCTTAACTGAGCTGTCTCTTCTTTCCTATTGTGCAATTGGCTGAAGCTCTAGCTGAGCACATTTTCACATTTCCACCACCCTCTGGTTCCTATTGTCCATCTGGGAACAGTGCATACTCCCAACAATAAGACCTAACCTGCATATGAGGGATGCACGAGACTTGCCCGGCTTCCATCTCTAAGAAGAGGGCCAGACTTTGAAGTTCATTTCAGGCCACTTCTCTGGGACATCATGCGATACTTTAAACTTCATTCACTGTATGAGTTTTCTGTTGCTGCTGTAACAAATCCATTGCAAACTCGGGCATTTAAACAACCAAACCTAACTACCTTATTGTTTCAGAGGCTAGTGATCTGATGGGACCTCACTTCAAGAAATAAAGAGCTCAACAGTGTTGAGCCAGTAGGCTTAGGGTTTCTTTGGTAGTTTCTGGGGTTACCTGCCTCGTTGCTTGTGTCTTTCTGCATCTTTGAAGCCAGTGATGGCTAGCCATCCCATTCTTACATGGAATCACACACCACTGATATTTCTGTCTCATTCTTTGCCACCCAGGATTCTTGTCATGAAGGCACTGGGTCCATTGGAGATAGTTCTGGGTGCTTATCACCTGAAGGTTAGAGGCTGATGGCAGCCTCTACCATGTGCCTTGTGTCCCTTTGGCCATAAGACCTGCATGGTCACTGGATCTAATTTTAGGCGTAGATGTTTGGGAGCCTCTCTTTTGCCCCCCTCCTACACAGACTTCTCTGCCCACACAGCTTCACAGAGGGTGCACTGGCTGCTTGCCCTGTTCAGAAACACTTGAGCAGCGCTTGGCGCTGGCTTCCCACTCTTTGGGTTTCTTCCTATGGGTGTGCAAAGGGAAAATTTAAACTATACCACCCCTACTCAGCAATCACAAAATAAAACTGAAAAGCAATATGGGAGGAGATTATTAATTTCTGGACCTTGGTAGGGGTTGATGTAAAAGAACAAGACTGGCCCCTGCATCCCTCTGGCTTCTTACCTTGCTGTGCAATATCACTCTTACACAAGCTCCTGCTATGATGCTACATCATCCTTCAGTAAAGTAGCCAGGATGGCTTCTCTCAAGCCAAACAGATGTGTGTTTGAACAGATTGTTATGTTTGAACTCCTAGAGTTGTTAGTGAACTTTTTTTTTAACAAGTTACCAACCTCAGGTATTTGGTTACAGCAACAGAGCAAAACAAATGAGCTCATTGTTAGGCAGCTGTTGAAGTCAGACCTCCATCACCCAAATCAAGAATCTGCTGCCACTTTCCAAACTGCCTTACAATTCTTTGAGGGGACAGTTGCCCAAGAGCACCAGCTCATGAAGCTACTTCTGGCCCTAGACCTATGGACTTTATAAAAGCTTCAGGGTTCTAGCTACAGGGCCCCAGGGATCACCGTCTTGGTTCTCTGGTCCCTCCTGATCAGAGAAGGTTCCTCAGAGGTGCTAAGCAAGACAGCTGCCCATAGCCACTCCATGTGTAGGGAGCAGAACCTTTGCAAACAGATATGTGTTTGTCCCGGAGGCAGATGTATCAGATGTCTGCTGTGTTTGCTTTTTATGGTCTTCCTGTTGGTGGTATTTAAAGTAAATACTGGTAAGAGAATGTATCATGGCCCTTTAAAGAAACAGAACTGTTAAATGAACACACACACACACACACACACACACACACACACACACACACACACACATATATTTACAGGCTGTGGGCCAGCCAGTTCAACAATGACTGTCTCCCAACACAAAGGTTGTTCTGGTAGTTGTTCAGCCCAGAAGGCTAAATGTCTCAGCAGTCCCAGTCCTGAGCTGGAGTCCCAAAGGATCCCTACGGAGCTGCTGGTCTCCAGTCTACATTTAATCCCTAAGAAGTCAGTTCTAATACCAGCAAAGGAATGTCTCAGCAACAGGACAGATGAGCTTGCCAGCAAGATGAGGGCAAGCAGGCAAACAGCAAAAGCAGCCTTCCTCCATGTCCTTTTAAGTGGGCTGCCACCAGACGGCCTGGTCCAGTTTTCGGGTGGATCTTCCCACCTCAAATGACCCAAGCAAGAAAATCCCTCACAGGCATGCCCCCCTGGTTTTAGTTGATTCTATATGTAGTCAAGTTGTCAAGATCAGCCACAGCAGCAGGGAGAGCTGCATTGTAACTTTCCATATGTCCAGCATAATCCTTAGAGTCTAAGAAACTTCTCTGATGTAAAGAGTGCACCATATGTACTAGGCTTGGCACCTTGTGCAGGCAGCAAGAACAGGGAAGAATCAGGACTGGATTGCCTTAGGACCTCTGCGGTTATATAGCAGATGGACAGCAGCTCTGGGGCACAAGGAACGAGGGACCTGTCTGATGATTCCATTTGGGCCTTGTTTCCTGGAAAAGACAGTTCAACTTAATGAACTGTACTGACATTTTACTGTACTCCATTTTCTCAGTTCCAGCATTGTGAGAAAGTTTAGTTCCAGGCTGTTTCTGGGTAGAATTTCTGTGCCCTACACAGGCACATTCCACAAGGCTCCATCTGGAAGCCATGCTTCCCTAGGAACCATCAGGGGAGACCAACCATGACAAAGTGCCCAGGGCAAGATGGAGCTGGTTTTTCTGGCAGCTGTTGGGCCATGCTCTCTACCCCACCCTGAAGGTTTTGTGACCTGTTAGGATGTGATTGAGTTGGTCCATTAGAACTGGCCAGATATTCATGATGCAGTTTTCCAAGATTGGCACAACTGCTGCTTAGTTCCCAGTTATGACGAGGAGACAGACCAAGGAAAGTGACATGTTTTGTGTCTGCTGGGGGTTGCCAGGTAGTGGGTGAGCTCCCTTCTAGCAGCAATCAACTGAGCAGTATAGATACCTCTGTGGATCTGTCAAATTGTGAAATAACCTTTATTAAACCCATATCTCATCAGGTGGTAGTGGCGCATGCCTTTAATCCCAGAACTCAGCAGGCAGAGACAGGCAGATCTCTGTGAGTTTGAAGCCAGCTTGGTCTACAAAGTGAGTTCCAGGACAGGCTCCAGAGCTATGCTGAGAAACCCTGTCAAGAGAGAGAGAGAGAGAGAGAGAGAGAGAGAGAGAGAGAGAGAGAGAACAAAAAACAACACAATCAAACAAAAAATGTCTCAGACTTTCAAGAGAGATACGAGAGCTGAGAGATCTGGGATTTTCGGGATGCTCAGGACTGGAGGTACAAGTAAGCAGGGTGCCACAGAGGACAGGCACAGTGTGTGACTGTCAGCGTTGAGACTGAAGCATGAATATTTTACCATGAAGTTGCTTAATTACACATTGCTTTGGGTTTAGCTATAGGAGGGAGGGCCTTACTCCTCTGTTTTATTCACTAGAGGCTTAGCTGGGACCCAAACACCTTCCCCTGGTCATGCTCCTGATAAGATGCATGTCAGAGCAGCTGGAGGTCAGAGGGACATGGGTCAGAGGTCATGAGTTTCCCCACTGAAAAAACTGTTTCCTCAAAGGACAACTGGGAAGTGAAACAAAAGACAGAACCTGAAGGAGGTCTCATGCTTGTTAACAGTTGACAGATTCGGGGAGAGCAGAAGTCA